CAACAAATACTGGCAAGGATGTAGAGAGACTGGTACACTCATACATTGCTGATGGAACTGTAAATTGGTCAACTACTGTGAAAAAGTATGGGGCATCAACAAAAAGTTGGAATAGAAATACCATTACAAACCCAGCAATCCCTCTACATGGGATATATCCTACTGAAATAAGAGCCACACCACAAATAAATGCATGCACATTCATGTTCATGGCAGCAATATTCACAATAGCAAAAAATGGATACAACCTAAATGCCCATCAATGGAAAAATGAATAAACACACTTTGGTACATACTCACAATTGAATACTACACAATATTCAAGAATAACAATGGATCTGTGATACAACTTATAACATGGATGAACTGAAGGACATTATGTTAAGCAAAATTAGTCGATCAAAAGACAATATTGTATAAGACCACTATTGTAAAAAGCCAAGAAAAGATTTCCATGCTAAAATAAACATTCTTCTAAGAATGTCAGAAATGTTTTTAAGAGCTGTGAAAATGTTTTTACCATTTTACCCAGTGATCTTACTTTTGGAAATTTGTCTTAAATAAACTAGAATATGGAAATGTTTATTAAAATGAAAATGTATGTTGCTTACTGATCAGAAATAGACTATAGGAACCTGAGACTATGGCTTTCAACCATCCTTCAAGTCTGGAAAAGAACTCATTCTCGTGGTCCAATCTTCAGCCAAGCAGTAGACAGGTATACAGGTGGGACAACACTAGTACAGTATGCTCACCATGGAATAGAAATCACTCAAGATCAAAAAGGCAATATGCACCTAAGGACAAAGTTGACAAGGGATGGGAAAGAGGATGGAATGGAAACAGGAACCACAGGGAGGAAGTAAGGTAACTTGTTGCACAGTGACTGCAACCTTTAAAATGAAACAGGGTGTAAGATTTGTTGAATGTAAAACTGATGATCTTGACACTAGAGCTTCACTCAATTCAAAATAAAAGTTTTCCAAAAAAAAAAAACCAAACACATATGGAGTAGGGAATAAAATGAAGGTGAAGAACATTTCACAATTTAAGTGAAAAAGAAAGAAATGTTCTTTAATAATGCTCTCTATAACCTTAACATGCATTTCCCATACAGTAATATTGTCTTTATACTTGTCACTTTGAGTGCTTGCTTTTAACATTTACTGAACCAATTTCCTTATAATTGCTAGTATATATAATGTAACAAACATTTTCATTTTGATAAGCATTTCCATATTTTAGTTTATTTCCTTAAGATAAATTTCTAAAAGTTAAGATCACTGGATATATTGGTAAAAACATTTTTACAGCTCTTAAAAACATTTCTAAACATTCTATTGCTGATTATTTAAAAGAGCATATGATCACAGGGAATGGTGCCCTGGTGGCTGAGTTAGAAATTGGGCTGCAAACCACAAAATCAGCAGTTCAAACTCACCAAATGCTCCTCAGGAGAAAGATGAGGCTGTCTGCTTCCATAAAGATTTACAGTCTCATAAACTCTATTAGAGTTGACAGCAGTGGGTATGACCATGGGGTGAGTGGCCTCCCTTTAATTTCAAAACCACTTGGTTACATGTTGGGCTGCTAACCACAAGGCCAAGTTTGAATCCATCAGACGCTCCATAAGACAAAGTTGAGGTCTTCTGCTCCCATACAAATTTACAGCCTCAGAAACTCTATACAGGGTTGCTATGAGTCGGAGCCGACTGAACATCACATAACCACCTACCAACCAACCTATGTTGTTGTTGTTAAGGAGTGCCAAGTCGGTTCCAACTCATAGTGACCCTGTATAGGGTTTCCGAGGAGCGGTTGGTGAGCTGCAAACCTTGCAGTCCAGTGCATTAACCCACAGTGGCACACCAGGACCCCAACCAACCAGCCTATAGTGGTGGTGGTGGTAGAAGCCATGGAGTCAGTTCCAACTTATAGCGACCGTGCATATGGTTTCTGAAGTTGTAAATCTTTACAGGAGCAGAAAGACTCACCTTTCTCACACGGAATAGCTGGTAGTTTCAAACTGCTGATCTTGAGGTCAGCAGCCTACTCATCATCAGTACATTACTGGTCACCTACTGGTACTTGGCACTGCTAGTCCATTAGCTTCATCCAACCTCCTACTTTATGCCTTATTCTCTCTAAAGACTTTTATTCTCAAATTTCTATCATTTCCTCTCCAATCTCAATCTTAAATTAATTCTTGCTTCTCATTTAACTAAAAAAAATTTTTTTAACACAACTGGATTAGCACTTCCAACAGATCTCAATTACCTTATTTTCTAACTTACCCACATCTACTTTTTACAGTGAGTCCACAAATTGTGCATGCTCCTTACTAAAGCTAATTTTTCCACTCTCACCATCATATTCTAATTCTCTACTGGTCCAATCTTCTCCACATCAACACAAGCTGTTACTTATCCCATCTTTAAGAACAAGCCAAAACAAAACAAAAATTGTCTTAACTTCACTGCTCCTTCTCTCTAGTACTACATATTTCTCTATTCTCAAGTGCCCACAAGCTTTAAGAATGGTCTGTATACTATTTGTCTCTAATTCTTTCCATTTTCATCTCACCCCTATCACCGCAAATGCTCTTAGTCAAGGCCATCAATGGCCCCTACCTCCCTGAATTCAATCATCAACCACCAGCCACTTTACTTGGCCTAATCTGCCACCACTGAAGATGCATTCCTCCTTATATATTTTCCTCTCTTGGCTTCCAAAATTCAATTCCATGGTTTTCATGCTCTTCAGCCACTATTGCTCTCTGGCCTTTCATGGTGTGGAGCACAGGGTTCAGACCAGTATGTTTCTTCCCTATCTACACTTACTCCTTTGGTGATAGCCTTTGGTCTTCAAGTGTTAACTATACAGTGAGGACTCCAAATTTTTAGCCCTAAATCAGGTCTCTCAACTGAACTGACACTAAATATCTACTGGACTTCTTTCTATCAGACATCTCAAACTTAGTATGTCCAAACATCCAGAAATTTACTTTTAGGTGCAGTCTTTGTTGCCTCAGTTTGTGGCAATGAAATCCTTCCAAATGTTCAGGCCAAAAACATTGGAGTCATGGATCCAATCCTTGACTTTTCTTTTTCATATATTCCATGTGCAATTCATAAGCAAATCCTCTTGACACTCTCTTAAAAACATGTCCATAATCCACCAATTTCTCACTGCCTCCATAGCTATCAACCTTCTCAAAGTTGCCACAATATGTCGCTTGTATTACTGTCATGGATGTCTACTCTTATCACTACAGGTATCCCTACAGTCTTTTTTCAGTACAACAGAGTACGACCTTTAAAACATACCTCATATCAAGTCAAATTTCTGCTCCAAATCCTTCCACAACTTCTTACTCCTTCAATGACCTACAATCTACTCCCTTACTTCATTCTACTAGCTTCACTTATACTTGCTGTAGTTTCTGCAACTTTCTGTCTGAGTTCTCATCATTTCCTAGTCTTTGCCCATATGCCATCTATTTAAGTTCAAACCTTCCTATCCCATGTTAAGAGGGTTATTGTTGTTGTGTGCCATCAAGTCTGTTCCAACTCATTCCGACCAGTATAAGATTTCCAAGAGCCGTTAATTGCTTTGAACTGCCGATCAGTGCTTACTCTAAGCACCACATGAGGATTTGTTGTTTGTTGTTGTTAAGTGCCACTGAGTTGGTTGCAACTCTATGTATGGTTTCCAAGGCTTTTAATCTTTAAAGGACCAAAATGCCTCATCTTCCTTCCACAAAGCGGCTAGTCGACTAAAACTATAAAACTCTGGTTCACAATCCAGTGCATATTGTATGGAGCCACGACACTCCCCTACACCTCAGCTGTTGTTGTTGTTGTTGTTAAGTGCTGTTAAGTCAGTTCTGACCCATAGTGACCCTGTATAGGGTTTCCAAGGAGTGGTGACTAGTGAACTTAAACCAACCTTGCAGTTCAAATGACTTTGCAGTCCAGAGCATTAACCCACACCGCCACACCAGGACTCCACAGTAGCTACTACTATTTAATTAAAGTATTTTTGAGCAACTGATACCAGAGCACAATGCTGTATGTAGGAGACCCAAGTTTTCATTCCTAGCTGATGCTAGTCATGTAGTACAAATAAATATATATATTTTTTTAATGTTTTATTGTAAATTATGTGATAGTTTACATGGGAGAACATTAGCTTTACATTCATCCTACCTTTTATCATTTCACTACCATGGTTACTATCCCCTCCATGCATCATCAAACAACCAAAGGGTATATACCCTGCAAGCCTGTCCCTAGGTCATCAGCACACAGCCCCTCCCCCTCTCTGGGTCTAGAGTCCCCAGCTACTCCATCTCTCCACGTCATCGTCTCTGCCTCCATCTCTGGTATCACTGTTTCTCTGGGTAGGGTCCCGCACTCCACTCTTCTCCCTTGATGGTCCCAGGGTCCTCTGCTCCTGGACTGCAAAGTCAACCATGCCCCGCCTTTTGCTACAAAACATCTACCTTTACATTCCCAACACTCACAGTCAGTCTTGATAGCAATTATTCACTATTGTACCACAAGAGTCCTATCCCTATCTCCTTTCGTCAGCCGCGGCCACTACTCAGTGGAGATTCTACCTTTCTTCACGCCCTCTGGATCTAGGCTCCCTCTTGAAAGCTTGTAAGCCAGACACTTCTTGCCTTTGTAGACCCCCCATTTTGAGTAGCCAATGTCCAAATTGCCCCTCCCTGTCTACCCAGCGTATGGAGTATATTCAAATAAATATTTTAATAGCTTAAAGTATTTTTTCACTTTATCAAGCCATATGTTGCATAAAGAGTTCCTTTAGAAAGAAACAATGCTAACAAAGTACATTTTTTTCTTGAGAAATAGCAAAAAACAGACAAAGAGGAATCGTTTGTAATAGAGTATAAATCAAACTTCTTTAATGGAAATTAAGCCATCTGAGAAAAACTGGAATATAGTTTAATTTTATAATAAAATGTATTCACATACCAGCACAAAATATCCCTGGGGCTTCACTTCTGATTATTATGGTCCGTACTTTCTTATCAGTTTTTAAAGCATCCACAGCCTTTGACAGCTAAATCGAGGAAAAAGGAGGAAGACTATTTTCAGATTTATGCCAACATTTTACCTTAACATTAGAAGGAAACAGTTTTATCTTTCCACTCACCATTTTTATAAGATTTTTACTTATTGCATTTTTGGCATAAGCTCTGTTTATTCCAAGCACCACAATTCCTAGTTAAGGAGAGAAAAGACAAAAACAGCAAAAGTACTTGAGTTAGTGAGGTATTCAAGGTACACAGCCTCCCAAAACACACCTCTTGTCAACCTGGGCCTAGGACTTAACAAAAATCTGCCACCTTACTGATGTTTATTGTAAGACTGTCATCATTACTTTAAATGTTTAGCTTCTTTTTCAAGATTAGTATATTTAAAAACATAGCATATTTATAAACTCAAATTTAAAAATTTAATATTAATCCCCTTTCATCGGCATTTTAAGGATAAAACTTTATGACTACATATTCATTCAATTTATTTCTTCTTAAGCAAGACCAAGGTAATCTGCCAAATCTTACTCATTTGAAAGACAACATGCAGTGTAACAGAACTAAGTCAGACTAGAGAAAAGGCCATGCTTAAATAGGATGCCACATAAAATGTGGTTTTACTGCCTTCAAGTAAATGCAGAAATGTACTTTAGTCCTCTTCAAGTACACACAGAAATAAAAGCTAACAAAATCTTGTCACATGCAAGTACTTCAGGATATAATTTTGGCTAGAATAGAGTTTGGCTCCTATACTCTTTTTATCAAACTACACATAATTTTCAGTATTTCCATCCCAGGTTTCTCTCTTGACTTCTGTCCCCCTCACTTAACAACCTGACAGTACTTCCCATTAAGCAATTCCAACTCAATCTACACAAAATACCATTCATTATTGCCCTTACAAGGCCCCGCAATCCAACCATCGCCTTAAATCCCACCCTTCATCCTAACTGCTGCAATCAGATCAATTTTTCAACAGAGGTTCTCCCATACTATCCTAAAGTAGACTGAGAAAACTTTTGTAAGTCAATAGTGTAAAAGCAAACAAGTCATTATAATTTTTTAGCATTTCCAGACCCAAAACATAACCTCCTAAATAACACATAAAGCCTAAAATAACACTGTTGTTGCTAATGTTAAGTGCCATGGAGTCAGTTCTAACACATACTGATCTTGTGTAGGGTGTCCAAGGAGCAGCTGGTAAGCTTGAACCGCCAAACTTGCAGTGCAGCACATTAACCCACAGCACCACATCATATAATAAAAAGTAAAAACAAGAATGTTATAATAAATGAAGCCCTTATAAAACAGAGATGATGTCGGTACAGTGTACGTTCCGGGGAAGAGCAAAGGCAGTAAGTACCATTCTCAGTGCTCAGGCTGCATAATGATGCAAAGCACACACTTAACACTACTTTCATTTCTTAGCCTTTCTTCCTAAAAGCTAAAATCCTCTTCAGAATTATTTCATTTGGTGAAAACATATACTAATGTAGTTGTATCATAAAAGCAAAGTGGTGTAAAGCAAACTTATGAAAAGCACGGGATACCTATAATAAATTCTGCATTTTAAAATCTTTTAAATTTATTTCCAAAAAGGTTTTAGTTCAAAGGTCTTAATCTGGCATTCAAAGTCTTATACAGCCTGTACTCAGCCTTCTTATTTCAAGAAAGCACAAATTTTCATCATGTATCAGAAATGCCTTCCAAAGGTTGGGGGTGGGAGTGAGTATGATCTTTATACGTAATTAGGTTAAACTGAATGCAATAAAAATGTGCACACAGCATCTTTATGCAGGAACTCAAAAACCATTTATCAAAGAAAGTACAAAGATGAACTTCAGGTCACAGAATAAATTAGCAAGAATTACAAACAATCTTAGTATGAAGAACATCATGAATTAGAACTCGTATCTAAGACAGGCTTTATATTAAATAGTTGAATAACTGAGACAAATCCCAATATTAAATGATAACAGCCACCACATTTTCAGGCAAAGAGGCTTTGTTGTTGTTGCTGTTAGGTGCCACTGACTTGATTACGACCAATAAAGACTAGGCAAAATAAAATGAAACACCAGCCTGTCTGAGCCATCCTGGCATTTGCTACTACACTTAAGTCCATTGTTGCTGCGGGTGCCAATTCATCAAGTTAGGGGGTCTTCCTCTTTTTGCTCACCCTCCACGTTACCAAGCATGATGATGTCCTTCTCTAGAAACTGTTCAATTCTGATAATATGTCTGAAGTATGAAGATGAAGTCTCTCCATCCTGACTTCTAAGGAGCATTAAATTAGGAGAGCACAAATGACTCCCAGCTACAGCAAACATTTTCCTACCTACAGGGTCACTATGAGTTGGAACCGACTCGACATCACTTAGCAACAACAGTACAAAGACAATAGCAACCCATTCCAGAGACAAATCTAATTCAGGATTCATTTTATAGCTACTTCCTCCTAAAATGTATTACTGTTGTTTTTAATAAGTGCCATCAAGTCAGTTCCAAAGCACTGTAAGCCTATTAGAATTTCCGAGGAGCGGCTGGTGAGTTTGAGCCACCAACCTTGCTGTCCAGTATTTATCCTAAAGGTTCACATCATAATAAGCCATTCTACTGGGGCATTGTTAGTTCTTTTATGTTTGATCTTATCAACTGGCAATAATTACAAATACATTTTCACATTATAATTTCTCCCTTAAAGCTATATGACAGAGATTCTGGATGTCTCAGTGTTTTAACAGAGATAAAGCAATGTTCATTAACATGTTGGCTCTAAACTCAGAAATCCCAAGCCCAGTTATTCTGCAACTTTAATGTACAAGAAAGTCATCCAGGGGACAAGGACTGCAATGAGAACTGGACTGCTAACCACAAGGTCCAGTGATTCAAACCCACCACCAGCTCCTTCAAAATCCTATTGTTGTTGTTGGTAAGTGCCGTCGAGTCGGTTCCGACCCATAGCGACCCTGTACAGGGTTTCTGAGGGTGTATATCTTTACGGGAGTAGAAAGCCTCATCTTTCTCCCGCGGAGCGGCTGGTAGTTTCGAACCGCTGACCTTAAGGTTCGCAGCCCGATTCGTAGCCACTACGCTACCAGAGCTCCTATACAGGGTTGTTATTGGTCAGAACCAACTTGATAGCACTTAACAACAACATATAGACCTACACCTACACACTACTTGATCTATACAACTAAACTGTATGAAGTGCCTTTGAAATCACGTAAAAGAATAAGATTATGATTATTTTTACTTTAGTGTCAAGTGTGCACTATAAAAAAATGATATGATTATCTTAGTAGAATTTACTTTTGGGTCTGTCTATGGGACCCAATGGAATGCGGAAATCATCGGACAATCTCTTTGATATCTCAAGCAAGTAAAGTTTTACTAAAGGTAATACAGAAATCATACATTGACAGAGAATTTCCAGAGGTTCAAGCTGGATTCAGAAGAGGCTGTGGAATGAGAGATATCATTGCTGATGTCGGATGG